AGCATGGCTGTAGGGGACAGAGAACAGCGGGGTGGGTTTTGGAGCCTACACAAGGGATGTGAAAGTTGTCATTGGTTGCTCATGAGAGAGGATGTGATGTCTGGGCCAGGGTTGGGGCCTTTCTCTCTGTCTCCCTGGGCATCAGTTTGGTTTGGTTTTATCATCATCCCATTCAGGCACAGACAAATCTGGGCCGCTGAGCTGTTCCTCAGTTTGTGTCCCAGGTGTCTCAGAGCAGAAGGGACCTGCTGGAGCACAGTCTGTTATAAATACTCAAGGGAGAACAAACACGAGAGGGATGCTGGATGTCCTGTCAAAGAACATTCTGGAAGCAGGTGGCTGCATTGGTACGTGAAGAATTTGCACTGCAGCTGCCTTTTATAGGAAGCATCTCTTGTTCCTAGAAAACTGTGGGATGATAAATCCCATGTGGCAAGACAAAGGCTTTCAGGGATGTCAGGATATCTCTGTAGCCTGTCACAGCCTGTCTCTGCAGCAGCTGGCCCGCGATGGCATTTCTGAGAAATAAATATTCTCTGCATAAAGGATGCTCTGCATTCCTCCTGACTTCACTTTGGAGTCATGGAGGAATGGAGGATTGGCCTGGGATTTTCTTAGTGTTTAACTGAAGGATAAGTAAAGAAGACACATGAGTTTTCAATTAAATGCCATCAGTCAGTCAGTCAAGCCTAAACAGCTGAGGCCATGTTGAGTGAAAGATGGGCTGGGCACTGATCCTTTGTTGGGCTTTGGAGGTGGTTACACCTTTCAATAATTGAATTTTAGTTCAGGTGAGAGGAAGCCCAATGCATGAAGTAGTTCTGCCTGAACTCTGTATTTTAGAGATTTTTCCCAATGACCTTACCTAGGTATTGGCAGTGGGTATTAGCTGCTGGCTGTGTAGTTGTCAAGAAAATCTGCTTACAGCTTTCACCATTTTGATTGTGTGTGACAGTGTGGTGTTTCTGTTTCTCTTGCCTTTGGAAGCCACAACCTTCAAAGAAACTCATCAAGTGTGCAAAAGCACTTTAAGCTCTTAACATCCATCCCGTGGAAGGAAAACACTGGGAAAAGCAATCTCTTGTTTTTCTTTCCTTTGCTTGTGCTCAGTCACGTTGGACCTCGCATAGGAGCAAGGTGTGCTGTTGTTGTCGTAATAGCAGGTCAGGATGTGGGTTTGTCTGGATGAATTGGAGCGAGAACTGGCTTCCTCTTGGGTCACCCCAGCTCCCTGCAACTCTAGGATGGTGCAGAGGGGCTGGAAAGCTGGGAAGGGCTCTGGGAATGCTGAGGCAGCTGCAGTGCTGGGGACAGCTCTGGGCCCTCAGCACAAGAGAGACACCGAGGGGCTGGAGCGTGTCCAGGGCAGGGAACGGAGCTGGGAAGGGGCTGGAGCCCCAGGAGAGGCTGAGGGAGCTGGGAAGGGGCTGAGCCTGGAGCAAAGGAGGCTCAGGGGGCCCTTGTGGCTCTGCACAGCTCCTGACAGGAGGGGACAGCCGGGGGGAACAGGGACAGGAGCAGAGGGAACGGCCTCAGGCTGGGCAGGGGGAGGCTCAGTTGGATATTGGGGAAAATCCCTCCATGGAAAGGCTTGTCCAGAGCGTCCAGCAGAGCTTCCCAGAGCAGTGGTGGAGCCCCCATACCTGGAGACATTTAAAAGTCATGTGGATGTGGCATTTGGGGAGATGGGTCAGTGGTGGCCTTGGCAGTGCCAGGGGAATGGACTTGATGGTCTTGGAGGGCTTTCCAATCTAAACAATTCCATGATTGAGTGATTCTGTAAGAATTATTTTAGGGAGGTCTCTTTATGGTTGCAGTTTTGGTGTAATGTTTTTGCCCAGAAGCTTGTTTTGGGGGCTGGAGTCCCTTGGCATGGCTGGGACTCAGATGGGTCTCATCCCAGGGGACAATCTGTGGGATCTTGGCATGGCTGGGACTCAGATGGGTCTCATCCCAGGGGACAATCTGTGGTATCTTGGCATGGCTGGGACGCAGGTGGGTCTTATCCCAGGGGACAATCTGTGGGAAGCTGCCCTGCTGTTCTGTCTCGGTGCTGCCAGGCTGCTGCAGTCCAGATTTTGGAGAGCTTTTGGCATGGAGGGGAATGGCTGGAGCCTCCTCCCTGGGGAGGACGTGGATGTGGGGCCGTCTCAGCCATCCTCCAGTGACCTGGAAATGCATCACTGTCCTGCATGTCTGTGGGCTTCTCATCAAGGACTCACCACTTCTTAAATCATTTTGGTTGCAAGTTCCACTCTCCTGTTGCCTCCCAACCCAAAGCGGGTTTGTTCTCCATTACTGTTCTTCACCTATCTCACCACTTGTTTCCACAAGTTCAACAGGCCTGGAGCACCTTTGGGAAAAAGGGAATGAGCCTACAAGTGTCATAAAAAATGCTTGTTCTTATTATTTGCTGATGAAGGATAAAACTGTATAATTGCTAAAAAAACTGTATAATCTTGCTAGAGCAAGAACCCCATTTAGATCCCCCTTAATAACAGCTATTAATAATAATTATACATTACAGTAATGCTGATAATTACTAAGTTATAATAAGCAGTTTGCACATCTATTGACTTTTTCTGCTGATGATTCCTTCTTTTATGGTCACAGTAACGAGCACAACATGGGCTTTGTTAAATCATAGAGTTTTACAAGGATTTAAGTTGGAATAAATCTTCAAGATCCTGTAGTTCTACCCCCTTGCCATGGGCAGGGACATATTCCACTGCACCAGGTTGCTCCAAGTCTCATCCAACCTGGCCTTGAACACTTTCAGAGATAGGAAAGTTTTGGAAGGTAATTTTCAGACCCCCAAAACTTACAAACTTTGTGCTTTGGCAAAGTAGCGTGGAGGGAAGGGGGAAGTGATAAAAAAGAGCAAATCTGAGATTGATCTCTGTTTGTTGTGATTAAGGAATGTACCTGGTGTCTGGGAATCCTTTGTGGTAGGTGCTGAGCCAGCACAGAGCCAAGGGATCACTGCTTCATCAAGAGCTCTCACCAGCATTTGTTTGCTCAGTGTGGGAAGATAGTAAATGCTTTGATGCTCAGATGTGGGTTTTTCTTTGAAAACCTTTTTTGTATGTGTTTTGAGGGTGAGGTGAGGTGAGAAATTAGCTCCAGGCACAGATCGCCAGGAAGAGCAGGAGTTTTCTTCCTGTTGAGTGATGGTTTCCTTCAGAAAGAGGTGAAACTATCACAAGATTAATTTGTTTTAGAGTTTCCCAGTAGAGATCCACAAATGTCTCAGATATGTGGTTTGTGTTGTCTGAAATAGACAAAAAAAACCTTTGGGCTTGGGTAACGTGTGGCCCAGTGAGATGGAGGATAACCTCTGACCCTGCTCACTCCATCCTGAGTGAGGCCAGCTTGTCATTTGTTCCCTGCCTCGTGCCATCACACCTCTCCAGGACTCATGGGAGCCTCCTATTCTCCCAACCTCTTCTTTAGCACTTCCTGTTTGATAATTGGTGCTTTCCTTTTTGTAATTGGTGCTAATTAGTGGGAAGGGGAGAAGCATGCCCTCCTCCAGGGCTCCACACTCTCTGGGGCTCCTTCTTTTTTTCTTTTTTCACTTTCTTCTTTTTTCTTTGTCCTTTTTAATATGGCATATGATTTTTGTTCAGGAGCTAATGTGTGATATTGGTCTACATAATGAGCCTTTTTGACAGTCTGGGCACATTTGGGAATAATTCCTTGAGCAGAGAAATCCTTAGGCCAGAACTGCTCATTCTCGGCAGTTTCCAAATGATGCCACAATTGTTCAGAGGTGACAGAGGAGAAAATAGTTCAGGAGCTAGAAACTACATGAGCTGGGAGCAGATTTTTTTTCCCTCCCCTTCCCTTCTGGATGGCATGTGACTCATTCTGGATTTGCTTAGCGATTTTATGCTTGTCTCAAAGCAGACTGTAACTACCCATATTCCTGGTGAAGGAGAGGGTGAGGGATGAAGCTGTTGTGTCCTGCAGTGTGCTGGCAGCTCCCATGTCTTCTCCCTCCCAAGCTGCAGGAAGGGAGAAATATAAGATTTACCACAAGCCATTGGGCCACAGCCTGTTTTTTTCCAAACACAGAATTTTTAAATACCCTGAGCTGGAAGGGACCCACCAGGGTCACCCGTTCCAGCCCCTGCCCTGCACAGACCCCCAGCAATCCCACCCTGGGCATCCCTGGCAGCGCTGCCCAAAGGCTCCTGGAGCTCTGGCAGCCTCGGGGCTGTGCCCATCCCTGGGGAGCCTGGGCAGTGCCAGCACCCTCTGGGGGAGAGCCTTTCCCTGAGATCCAACCTAAACCTCCTGGAACAGCTCCAGCCATGCCCTGGGTCCTGTCCCTGTCAGAGGGAGCAGAGCCCAGTGCTATGCCCAGCCCAGGAACTGGTGATTTCCTTTCTTTACTGTGTTAGTCATTGAGCCCTGGAGAAGAAGAAAGGAGAAGAGAATTATAAATCCCCTACGTCTCCTATAGAGGCAATTTTCTGCAGTGAGAGGTTTTAAAAGTGAATTCTGTTGTGATCTCTGTCTCACCTCCTCACTGGACCGTTTACACTCACATCATTAGCTAAGCATTATTTACTGCCACTGCCCTAGAGAAGCTTTTCAGTTATCATCCTCTTCCTCAGACATGTCCATTACCCCCAGCTTCTCACCCATATCCAGAACAACTAGTGCTTTGGATTTATTAAATCAAACATTTTAGTGTCACATTTTTTTCCTCTCATGCATATGTCTGGAGATTTTCAGTAATTTGGGTTTTAAGCAGGAGGCCAGGAAATATGTCTCTTGTCCTTAAATGCAGGAATATTGCATAAATGGAACATTTTTTGCATGCCTGGAAGCCCTAAAAGCAACCACCTAGGATTATTAGAAATTGTATTGTAAATGCAGATGTACAGCAAAAAAAACATCCTGCGCGTGGCAACCGATAGGCTTTGTCTGCTTGAGTTTTTTATAATTACTGGGAAATAATTCCTCGCTGTCTTTTTATCCCGCTTCCTCAGGCTCCCTGTGTTCCTGGTGTGCCCCCTGAAGGGATGGAGAGCTCCTCAGTGGCATCGGCCTCCTCGGAGGCGGGGAGCAGCCGCTCCCAGGAGATCGAGGAGCTGGAGCGCTTCATCGACAGCTACGTCCTGGAGTACCAGGTGCAGGGGCTGCTCACCGACAAGACCGAGGGCGACGGCGAGAGCGAGAAAACGCAGTCCCACGTCTCACAGGTGGGTGAGAGGGACCTCCTCCCACTCACCGTGGGGTGGGAGAGGGGCTGGGGGCTCACAGAGTGTGTTCTCAGCTGAAGTTGCTTTGTCAGGGTTTGGATGTGGAGCAGGATGTGATAAAACGCTGGGTTTGGGGCAGCTCACTGGGTTTGGGGCAGCTCGCTTGTCTGGGGATGTATTGGAGGTTTCCAAGCTGCTGGTAGCAGTCTCCTGATGCTGGGTTTGGTTTTTTTATGGTCTCAAGGTGCATTGAAACACATTGAAAGTGTTCCAGGCCAGGTTGGACAGGGCTTGGAGCAGATTGGCACAGTGGAAGGTGTCTCTGCCCATGGCAGGGAGTGGAATGAGATGGGGTTTAAGGTCCCTTCCAAGCCAGACCATTCCATGATTCTACATGTGGAGGATCCCATCTTTATCTGGTATCAGCAGTGTTTGATCTGATCTGTCTCTGAACTCTGCAGGTTTGCTGGAACTGAGGATCTGACCCAGAGCTCTGGACCTGTTTTATATCATGTCAATGTAAAGAAATTACCAAACAAAGGAACCTTTTTAACAATAGATTTTGGTGAAGAGATCTTTTACGATTTGAAGATCAAAGCCCTTAGAAAGGGGAGAAAATATATTTAAAAATCTAGTGATTTTATTAACCCAAGGCTGGAAGGTGTCTATGTTTGAAGTGATGCTTTGGAGGGGCGTCAGGTTAAACAGGCAAGTTCTGCTTATTAATGTGTCAAGCTCAAAAGTAGTATTGAATCAGAAATAAAATAATAGACAAAGTTTTGTAACCCCTTCCAGCCTTTCCACTGCTCTGCCAGTAAGCTCAGGCTCCCTCTGCATCTTAAGGACAAAAATTTCTAATTCTCATGGCATACCATGTACGTTTTTTGCATTAAGCTCCTTGATTGCAGCAACAAAATCCATCTTCCAGTTGTGGAAATGGCATTTTAGCTTTCTTTCCTGGCTTGCCCTAGAAGAAAGGGGCTGCTGGATTTTTAATGTCAGTTCTGAGAGTGTTCTCTTTCAAGATGGCTGGGTTTTATTTTAAAGGAAAAATTCATAATAATGAAAGATCTGAACATTAAACCTTTTAATTAAACCAGTAATAGAGGCAACTCAAATGAAGCAGCTAAATGAGGTTGTACCCCAGACCACTGATGCAGAAGTTTAATTAGGATTTATTGTGGAACTCCATCAAAATGCAACATTCTGTCTTTCTAGGGCTGTGTACTAGACAAAAAGTGAAGATGGGCTTTTACTTTAGGTCACTTGAATTTATGAAGCCATCTCTTCATGGATGCACTAAGAAGGAATTATCTCAGGTCTCACAAAGGTTTTTTTCATTTTTCCACCTTTAAGAAATAGTTAGGAGTTTTTATTTCTGATTTTCTCTCCCTGATCAGTTCTTAGCAAAGCAGAGAATGAACAGGCACATATCCTGCAGCTGACTGGAGTAACCCTGGTGGAAGCCAGCCTGATGGAAGGTGGCACGTTCCCTCATTAATGAGAGCTAGAGGGAGAAAGATGGATTTAAGGGAAAGGCACTCAGCTGAGACCAAGGAAATTGTTTTTAACTGCAAGGCTCTGCCAGAAACTAAATCTTTAATGCTGGGCAAGTTACTTAATCTCTCTGCAGTTTGTTTCCTTATGGCTGTGATGTTTTCCCTGCCTGAGAGTGGATAAATCCATTCAGCCATGTGTGTGTGACTTGCTTGGATGGTACCACATCCCTGGACAGCTGCTGTCCTTGCTGTGGGAAGGAAGGAAAAAAATGGATTCAGGGAAGCTGAATGCATTGCCGCTTCAGAGAATCCCAAAATTTGGATGTTCCCATGGTGGGGATATCCCTAGCCTTGCTCCCACTAGGAAAAAAGAGGAAAATGAGAGGGGGAAAAGGTGATTTTATTTTGCTGTGGAGATAATGAGTGAGCTTGTACCTTGAGAGACCTTCCCAGGAATGTGGTTGCACTCAAAATTGTTAGAGCAGATAGGGATACGTCAGGTAAATAAAAGACTCTCAAGAGTGATGGCATCATGAGCCTGCTCAGGGGGCTCAGCAGAAGTGTCAGGAGAGTGATGGGCAGCTCTTTAATGAGGGGAGACTGAAATCCCCCCATCTGTGAGCTAGGATGGGCTCTCTGATGAGGGCAGGGATCATGGGCAGTTGTAGTGAAAACTCTTATTTTGTGGCCTCATCCATACCTGTCAGGGAGCTCTGAGGTGGTTATTTGTATGGAAATGACTTTTCATTTTCTTGGCACATCCTTGGTGGTGGTACTAAGCCTTAAGTGTCTCTGGAGCAGCCAAGTGCTTCCAGCATGGAAGACCTCAGAAATGGGGCTGGTCAGTCTCTACTCTGTTGAAGGAGTCACAAAAATGACTTCAGAATTAAGCAGCATCTTTGATATTTGTCTAGTGAAAATTGGTTTTGGGCTTTTTTTCACCTGTATGATGCAGACCTACATTTCTTTAGGGGAAAAAAAATAAGGCAACAAATGACACCAAATTCAGTTAATTTTATGGAGGCATCTTGCTGCCCAACCTTGGGGCAAGCTGGCCTAAGAGTCTGCTAATCCCCTATGGCCACATATGGCAATGGCCAAACTACAGGCAATGGCCTATAGCTTCCATACTCATTTTCTGTTCTGTTTAAAATGAAAACACAGGGTGTTGGCTGCCCAGGGCATGTATCTGTCCTTGAAGCAAGTAGAGTTGGGAACGAGGGTTGGGAAAAGCAGAAATTTTCCAACATTCCATGGAAATGAGTGATAAGTCACCCTAGTGAGTGTCACACACCTGGAGTTCCAAGCACTGTCAGAGTCAGCAGGGAGGTAGTGGGGCTGGATTTTATTGCAAAGCACCATATCAAATGCTTCCCTATAGTTGTTCCTGCTTCCTCCGTGTACCCACTGTCAGCGGGTGGAGCATTTCCAAGCCAAATCCTTTGGGATCATCCTCAAAAAGGAGGGGGTGCCACACGTGTGCAGCGATGCCCGCGGCCGGATGGTGTTTTCTGTGCACTGTGGACTGACACAGCAGTTTTGCCCAGCCCAGCTATTATTTTACACAATCCCTTTTTTTATCCCTTTTGCAGTGGACGGCGGATTGTAGCGAGCAGCTTGATGGCAGCTGTTCCCCATCCCGAGGGAAGGGCTCGTCGTCCCACGAACATAACCAGGTAGGGTTTGTGTTTAGTTCCTCCTCCACAGAGCTTTGCCTTTATTTCTTGCACTGCCTCGCCTGGGAGGTGCTGCCAGCTGTCCCTCTCCCATGGAAGGGGAGATGTGTCCCTCTGCTTGGCATCTGAAAGCTCTTTCCTGCCCAAACCATGGGAGGTGGGCAACATCCTGATGTGCGGATGGATGCTTTCATCAGGAGCTTAAAGGGGAAAAAATAAGGAGTGTCACATTCATTCCAGAAGACTTTCTTATTGTCACCTGTGTGAGGAAGCTGTTAGGAGCATCAGAGCTGACTTGGAAGGGTGAGATGTAGCTGGAATAAGGGATCTTTGTGTAGCTGGGCTGCTCTGTTGTGATGCTGCAGCACAAGGTGTTGCAGGGAAGAGCATTACATAGCAGAGAGGGTGAGCTGGCAGAAGAAGCAAAGTTGCACGTGCTGAGAGCCTGTGTTGGTTGTGCAGTGACAGGAACCAGGTGTGAGTCAATTTTGGTGCTTGAACATGGTGTGAACACAAGTGAGGAGTGTTTACCAGGCACTGCTGGAGGTGGCTGTCCTTCCTCATGTGAGTACTCCCATGGAAGAGAGTTGGGTTGGGTGAGGGCTTGTGTTTGATCATTCTCATCAGATTGACAAGCTGCTGTGTCACCATGAGACCATCTGCTCTGTGAGAGCAGTACTTGCTTGAGGAGATTTAGGCATCTGGGGGAAGGGGAAACAGCATTTCCAATTGCTGTGGCTGATGGATGTCCACCCAGAGAGGTGGCTTCAAGTTGGTGGCTTTCATTCTCTTGCTCTGCTTGATGTCCTCCAGATGCAGACTTGTGCGTGGATCCATGAGGGGAAATTTGGGAGCCCCTTGCAGGGTGTGAAAGGGGGCTGTGCCAGTCTGAGCAGGGCAGGTTGCAGCTCTCATTTTGGGCACAGCTTTCTCCCATGGAGCCATGCTGGAATTCTTGGCTGAGGGATGGGGACTGAGGCATCCCATCCCTGCCCTGGCCCTGGGATGCTGGTAGCACCTCTACCAACACCTGTACCCAGCAAAGGCAGGCTGTTGTTTTGTAGGAGGACATGTGCTGGGCAGAGACACTGCTTTGGAAGAGTTCCTGAGGGTGCCAGATGGAATTGTGTATTTGATTTATTATAGCTGTGATCTGCTTCAAAATATTCAGCAGCAAAACCTGATCCAAGGTCCCTCCCAGCACTGCATACAGCTGCTGGATGTTCATTTGGGAGGCTGGCTGCTTCCATTAGGCTTCCTTAGGTGGATCAGGGGCTTTCCTTAGGGAAGGAAGGTCCCTGGCCCTTCTCCCAAGGGCTCTGCTGATGTGCCAGTGGCTGGTGGGGACCCCACAGGAGGATGCAGGGTTACTTTCCTGACAACCTCCATCGGCCTGGTGCCATGCACTCTTTTGTTTCAGCTTACATGGTTTGGTTTTTTTTTTTTTTTGTTTTCTTGCTATATCTTTTTCCCTGGGAATTAAATGTGTTTGATCTCCTCCTACAGGGAGCTCCTTTCCTACACACAAACACCATTCGCTCATGCCCAAGCTGCTTACCCTGTGTTTGGGCTCTCTCCCAGCCTGCAGCAGAGCTAGTAATTATCTCTCTCCATGTTTGGCTTCCTTTAACTGTGAGTAACAAATTTTCCTTGGCACCAAAGAGGAGCTGCAAGCTATTGTTCCTCTGTCCAGGCAAGCATTTCTCTCACTGTCACTGATATATGAGTTAAACGCTGCTGGTGAGGACCAAGTGCAGTTTCTTACCATTCCTGGCTGTTTTCACAAAAAAATCTTTCAATATTAAAAAAAAAAAAAAAAAGTCATTACTATGATGCTTGTCCTGAATTAAAATTATCAATCACTTTTCAAACCTGCTAAGGAAGAAGCCAGCAAATTATTTCCCAGTGGAGGAAGGGGTTGCGTTTTGGGGATGGTTTTTTTGTTTGGGGTTTGTTTGGTTTCAGGTTTTGTTTTGGGGGTTTTTTTGGGTTTTGGTTTTGGTTTTTTTTTTTTTTTTTTTTTTTTTCTTGTGATGGAGGTATTTTGTTGCAATTTTTTATGTATTTGAGGGACTTGGGCAGGAAATGGAATTCCTAATTTTCCTATTGTGTTTCCAGCTGAGATCTCTGCATTGACAGTCGTACTTGAAAAATACTTGGATGTGAGATTTCTGCTGGCTTCAGCTAATGTGAAAATGTGGGTTATGTATCAGTGACCATTGTATGCCTCACGTGGCCATCAGAAAGGGCATTTATATGGAAATCTGGGTTAGTCCTGGAAATATATTCAGCATGTGGTTCATTTTCTGTGAAGACAGAGTAGTCCAGTCTTGCTTTTTTAGAAGTAATTGGCTTCCTAAAGGTTATGGGGAAACCTAGAGAGAAGATGACTTTCCCATGCCTGAAAAATCCCTCTATGCATCCCTGAGTACTTGATGCCTTTGAAATTCTGTGCTATATGATCCAGCAAGGTAAAGAAAAATAAAAGAAAGATTTTTTGTGTGTGTGTGTGTTATGCATTTTTATATAGGATGTGTGTATATATGCATCTACTGGTTGTTGCACAAGCGAGGGGGTTAGAGCAATTTCTGAATAATATACAATATAAGGGTAAAAATGAAGTGGTTTTGCCGTTCATTTTTAAGTGTTTTTGCCTTCATTAAAAATGAAGGTAAAAGTCCAGGATATTTCTAAATTGCTGGTTTCTGATGTTGTTGGGTGTCTCTGGAAAAGAGCACCCAGACTTGTCCTGCTCTTGCACTACTTGGTGAGACCTGTATTAGCAGCTGTGTGAGACAGTGTTAGTTCCCATAGGTTGGCAGAAAGGCATCCCATACAAAGCAGTGGCTTAAAAAGAGAGAAAATTCCCCCTGAAACCTCCTGGTCTTTCCAGTTCTTGGGCGGGTGGCTGTGAGAAGATGGTCTGCTCATGGAGGAATCTCATGAGATACATTTTGTGAACTCACGTGCTGAGAAAATCCTGGTCTCACAATTACATTCAGCTCATCTATAATTCTTGTTTCCTGCTGGGATCTCTCTGTTTGCTGCATGGTGTGGCCATGTTCCACTAAACCCCTGAAAGTTTGCCAGGTCTCACCACGTGTGAGCCTCTGGGGCAAAGACCAGGTACTCAAAATATTCTTTGAGCACCTTACTGCCTCTGTAAAGAGGAAGGTTTAGATAATGGAATAATTTTAAACTCTTTTATGTTTGGATTTTTTTTTCTTCTTCCCCAAAAAGAGCCAGTGGGAAGTTTTTATATAATACTTTATTTGCATTCCCCTTGTGAGGCTGTGGCAAGTAGGAAGCTCTTTGATATATTTCTGAGAGCAATTCATTAAGTAAAAAAATCTGGTATGGTGCATATTGAGGGATCCAGCAAAGCTCTTGGTACATGAAAGGCCTGGCAGGAACTGCATCCCAGGCTCCCCTTATGTAAAAGGCATTAACAAAAACCAGAACAACTCTGCGGGTTTGTGCCATTTCTCCAGGCGGTAGGAGATGGAGAGCTGAAAATCCTCCTTCCTGGCCAAGTCCCTCCCTTTCCCCATGGTGGCTGGCTGTCACCCATCAGCACCAAGGAAAAACCTGTGTTTTAGGCAGGAAACAGGACGTGCTTTCATCCCACCGCTTGTGTCCATGCCCCACCAGGTGTAGCAGGAACTTGGCACGCGGTCTGGGCCCTCAGAGGCTTCTGCAGGTGATGGTTGTGTTGCTGATCTGCTGAGCAGTGAAGGAGCAGGCAGGGTGTGCAGATCACACCTGATGATCCCACACCTTGCTTGCAGCACCCTTGTCCTGTCCTCCCTGAGGAGCTGGTGGTGAAGGAGATGACTCTGCCATCCTGTTGAACCAGCAGAAACAGCAGCGCATGGTGGCAGGGTGGGTTTGCACTCTTGGGCCTTGGCTGGAGTTCAGACTGCCTGGAGTAAAGAGCATCCCTAACTGTGCCAGCACAAGAGTTCTGACAAGGGCCTGGAGGGAAAAGGGGGAATGGCTTCCCACTGGGAAGGACAGGGTTAGGTGGGATATTGGGAAGGAATTGCTGGCTGGGAGGGTGGGCAGGCCCTTGCACAGGGTTCTCAGAGCAGCTGTGGCTGCCCCATCCCAGCAGGACAGGGCTTGGAACAGCCTCATATAGTGGAAGGTGTCCATGCCCATGGCAGAGGATGGAATGAGATGAGCTTTAAGGTCTTGCCATTCCATGTCCATGTCCTGCAGTCATGGCTGGAAAAGCTGCCATGCTGCCAAAGCAAAGGCAATAGGAGGTGAGGGGCAATGTGTGAAGGCTGTCTCTTGTGTAACAGCAGATTGCAGTGCACAGAGGAGCTCAGTTTTAGTGGAGAGTGGAAAAATCAAATTATCTGTGCAGATTATTTTTTTCACAGTTCCAGAAAATTTTCTTTTTCAGGCATCAGTGCTGCTTAACTTCCTGGGATCAGCTACCAGGAAATCCTGCCTGGTGGATGCTGGAGAAGCAGGTGGGAAGGGATCATGGTCTTGGACAGGGGACAGGGGACATGTCACTGGGTCCAGATTAACTGAAGTTAGCAGTGACCTGCTGGCTTAAATCCAGTGACATCAGCAGGCAGCTTGTAATGCCCCAAATTCTTGGCTGACCAGACGGAGCTGGAGAGACAGTGGATTGGCAGGATCTCCTGACTAAATTTGTAATTCATTTTCCCTGTGCTGGTGGACAGCCTGTGTCTCACTTCAGTTGCCTAACCTTGGGTCCAGATCTGAAAGAAAACAAGAGGGATGACTCTGGAAAGCCTTTTAGAAATTACAGAATGTTAAGAGGGTGGAGTGGATGTTAAAAATCACCCACCTGCTATAGGCAGGGACACCTTCCACTGGAACAGGTTGCTCAGGGCCTTATGTGTTATGAGCACGGCCAGGGTTGGGGCATCCACAGCCTCCCTGGGCAACCTGGGCCATTGTCTCACCACCCTCACAGTGAAAACATTCTTACTAATATCCAGTCTAAATTTCCCCTCTAG